TTATTAAAGAACTTTTTTAAGAAATTAAAAAAGCTATTAAGTGAAAAAGAAAAGTATTAAAAGCTTTTCCTTATAATAAAGTTAAGGCTAAGAAGATAATTAAGTTAATTAAAAGAAAAAATTAAAATTAAATTAAATCTTTAGTTAAGCTATAACTAGTAATTTACTTAAATAAATAACTTTTTATAAGTATAGTATATAGCTATTAGATTTATTAAAAAATACTAATATATAAAAAAAGCTTAATAAAAAGTTTTATAATAATATATATATTAATATAATTAGGGCTAAAAAAAAGGTTAGAAAGAAGGTTTAGGGTAATTAGAAGGTAATAGTAGAGTTAAGTTTATAAGTTAATTATAAGGTTAGAAAATACACTTTGACTTTAACACAATAGCTAAAGAAGGCCAAAGCCCTTATCTAACGCCACATACCTGCGAGCATTGTTAAAAGATCGACCTATACGGTGCCGAAGAAGAGGTATTTGTGTCACATTTACCGGGGTTGGGCTGGAAAGCGCGGGATTCAACCCGGTGGCATTTCAGTTAGGAGACCATGGCTTTTACAGGCATCGGGCTGGATAATCTGGATAAAGGGTCTCGGGCTGGTTGTAGCCTGGGGAAGTATCTTCTCACACAATTCAGCAAAGGCCCTCTGACTCCAGAGCTAAAGATTTATATCCGAGCGAATGCTTTCTATGGCTTAATACCAGTAAAGCATATGGTCACCAAAGCAGAGGTGCTCGAATTTGAGATCTGGTCCCTGGAACATACCGACGAAGGGTCAGCCGTTTCTTCTGATCCCCGGTTTGACAATTGCTATGTCTTTTCTCCTGCACATAAGCCACATGGGCTCTTCGACGGCGGTATGGACTTTGTTTTGGCGACAGGAAAAGAGAAAGGCAAGTCAACCCGCGACCTTCGATCTCACACTTTATTCACACCAGACATAGATAAATTGGCCGAGAGCGAAAGGCGGGTGACTTATAGCAAGCCCATGCTAGCTGATCCCTTGGCTCAAGAAACCATCACATCGATTAAGGATTGGATATCTAAATGCGATAGAGAGCAAGCCGAAACCCACCTGATTTGCTCAGTATCTAAACCTCACTTCTTGCCTTCCCGCCTTATCCGTGTACGACCACAGGGCTCAAGATGCGAGTTGAAATTGGTTTCTGGGAAGGCGCTGAAGGAACAAGGCGTGAGATACACTGCATTGAGTTATTGTTGGGTTGCCAACATGGGTGCCACTCTGACCACAAACAACTTTGAAAGCTCTATGGCGGAAATCTCTTGGGAAATGGTTCCAAAGACGATTCAAGACGCCGCATTAACGACGCAAAGACTCGGGATAGACTACCTGTGGGTAGATTCATTCTGTATTATCCAGGACAGCCCCGACGATAAGACTCTGGAAATTAGCCAGATGACCGAGGTCTACACACACGCAACATTAACGATTATGGCCAAACGTGCCAATGATGCCCAAGAAGGCTTTCTACATAAAGGGGTTCTCCCTTCTGGAACGAGCTCTATGATGATTCGGTATCGCAATGGGGAAGAGGGAACTGTCACATTGTCATTTGAGTCAGCTCTAAGCGACGAATTGTAATGTAATTCTATTGCTATGCTGTTAATTTTTAAGTGCATCTTGCACTACAATTTGCTTTCTAACCTATTATAATACTTTATTTATATAATAGACCTACTTTTCCTTAGATCTACTATAAAGTAAATATATACTTAGCCTAACTCTTTACTAGTAAAGGAAAAACCTTTAAGTAATAACCTTTTTTTATTATATACTAAACTAGGTTAAAATAAAGATAACTTTCTTAATAAATTTATAATTTTAAGCCTTTTTATTAACTAGCTAACTTCTTATATATTAATATTATAATTTTTAAGTTAACTTAGGTATAAGCTAGGGTAGTTTATTAGTAATTAGGCTTTAATTTTTAGCTTTTTTTTAGGGTTAAGGACTGCAGGGTTTAAACCTACTACCTTTAGCTGCCTAGTCAGCTTTCTAGTCAGGCCAGTAATGTCTAACCATTACGCCACAAGCCCCCCTAAGCGACAAATTCAGGACCAGATTAGACACAAGAGGATGGGTGCTACAGGAATACTTACTCTCTCGCCGATTACTTATAATTGGGAGCTGGGCGACGGAGTGGTCGTGTCGTCAAGAACGTTACTCGCCGGGCAACGTTGATGGGTCGACAAGAGAAACAAAAAAGGAAACCGATCCCTTCAAATACAATGAAAGGTGGCGAAAGACCGACACGCTTCCTGAAGTCGGCCATAAACTGGATGCAATTGCATTCTTTGCTGCCCACCCAGGCAGAGTACTACCCAAACCAGATGAATGGCCTGTCAACCAGACCTGGAATGGTCTCGTTGGGTCATACACAGAGAGGTATCTCTCCGAACCGAGTGACAGGATCAGAGCCATCGCAGGGCTGGCCAAGAACTTCAGCGTCATGTACGAGTCACAGTATGGGTCCAAGTATGCAGCTGGCTTATGGTGCCAGGATCTTCCTGGGGCCCTCTTGTGGAGAAATTGTGACCGCCAGATGCTTCCAAGACCGGCCAAGTGGCAAGGGCCATCGTGGTCTTGGGTATCCATCAACAACAGAGTGGATTGTTACTTTGCGGACAGTTCTCTGTGCACAGAAGTTGAACATGTCAGTTGTCAGCTTATCTCTCCTGAGGCTCCCTTTGGTGATCTTAGGGAGGGAGGTGCCGTGCTTCGAATCAGAGGATGTGCAATTGAGCTGGATTGGAGATACACAGGGCCTGAAAAGTCGAAAGAGAAGTTCGGTACTGATGGGAGTGATATAAGATATCTTAACAGTGGTCACACATATGTCGATGCCAAGGTTAAACATTTTCTCGACGTACAGGAGCTTGCTACGGACTGGACGCGAATAACATTGCTTCTTATCGATCATGGCTGGTATCGTAATGCTGAAGGTATTATACTGAAAAAGGTACATGATGGGAAATATTCGAGGCTGGGGTACTTCGAGTTGGACTACAATGGAGATACCAAGGATTTCAATTCTCCTCTTCCTCCTCCTAGAAGCTGGGAGAAACAAGTGTTCGAGATTATTTGATAGGTCTCAGATATAGCAGGAAGTAATCTATGGAAGTATTCACAAGAACACTCGAATGTGGCATTGCTGTTGCGGTCTCATAGTCGATAGCTGTGATTTCGCATACCATTCCTGCATAATCTTCTTTCATTAAGCCAGGCTTCAACATTCGTTCAGTGACTACACCAATCGCATAGCATAACGACGTCTCGCCTGCTGGTTCAAACGTTGACGGATTGTTATTTTGATTGGTCAAGGCAGCCCGTCAGTTGGTGTAATCCATTTCAACGCCTGTTTTGTGATTGATACAGAGTCTGAAGATCAACGAGGCATATGAAGCAAACAAAGAAAAAATCCCAATTAACTTCAGCTTTGCCCAGCCACTTCTCGATGGCATGGCTCGAGATTTTTGCTATGTTCATTTCCATGTAGAACATTACGTTTCCAAATCAAGAAGAAAATGGCCAAGTATCGAATCTCGCCATTGATAGTTTCCGAACATCGGCACTCGGTGTTGAGCAAGTGCGGAGGAGGTCGCGATACTTCGTAATGACGGCATGATGATGTCAGCCAAAAAGGTCTCACAATAGGTAATCAACAACGTCACCATTGAAGCTTCAACATCATAACAACAAAACTCATCATTTCAGAGTTCGCTTCACAGTTGCGCGACTTAGATATCACCAATCACTACTGCCCGTACTTTACTCGCGCTCGGCCAGACCTTTCCGCACACCAACTTGGCACTGACTCGCCGCGATCAGACTCGCCAATCACCCCCCAATTCAGAAAAGATGGTGCACAACATCCGAACGTCAGTTTTCCCCTTCAGCCCCCCACGCGGTCAATTGCCAGATATACTGATATCCAACAGCAAAGACGAGTTCCAAGATGCTCTGAAGAAGTATCCCATCGTCGTCGTCGACTTTTATTCCACGCACAGCGCAGAGTCAAAGCACATTGCTGCCACCTTCGCTCAGTAAGTCTTTTTCCTTACTCTACCAAAAGGCCCCCGCTGAGAATTCTAGCGCCTATGAGTTGGACAAGTTCAAGGACTTCCGCTTCGTCAAGGTTGACATCGACGACCTGAAGGGTCTGGCGGAGGAAGTCGGTGTCTCGCAACCTGCGACTTTCCACATGTATAAGAATGGGGAGAAGATCAATGATCTGCAGAGTGAGCACAAGGAGGATCTGATCCAATTCTTGGAGACTGGCCTGTAATCGCATGGCTGGCCGGTGGGAAAGGAAGAGAAGCAATGATAGCTGAAGTGAGGCTGCGTCAAACATGCAGCACAAGTCTCCGTTTGATTGAATGACAATACTCTGTTCGCCACAAGCATCATATAATCTACGATTGTTTGATTGAGGATCTCGTTACAGTGAAATGAAATGGGTACCATTGCTGACAGTTGACGGGGTCCGCTGACCGTTGCTCTGAAAACGGGGTAACTCAACGCTACACAAAGTCAAACCCAACTCTAAATCATCTCCTAAATCCCCAAGCCGAGTTTCTATCAACGTTATCATAAAGCGCGGCTTGAAGGTCCTCATGTCAGCCCAACTCTATCTGCAAATCTCAGGTGATCAAGTGACATGTCGTCTTTGTCAGCATGCCCCACTACGTCATTGAAACATCTCAACTAAACGGGTCCTTTATCCCTTGGCATCTCCATCCTCAAAATGGCGACATCAGAGCAGATCAACAAAGGCCGCGTCGTCGGCGACTTATCATGTCAATCAAATTCATATCTTAAGACCCTCGAAACCGAAGTTATCTCGTGCGAAAAGGTGCCGAAGCAAGCGCACAAGTCGAAGAAGAGCAATGGGCATTCTCATTCGCATGATGAGTGGTTAATCGAGTGCGCCGACTCGGTGCTGTTCCCAGAAGGTATTGCACTCCCCCTTTTCTAATTTGAACAAGACTTTCCTGACATTGAATTAGGTGGCGGTCAACCTTCAGATCATGGCACAATCACCCCCCTCTCAGGCTCAGATCAAACCCCCATTCCCATCAAGAACGTTCAGCGCCAAGGTCTCCGCTGCATAATCTACTCCCCCAAGCCTCTATCCCCAGGTGACAGAATCCGTCAAGAAGTCGACTGGGAGCGGAGATGGGATCACATGCAGCAACATACCGGCCAACATCTCCTATCCGCGGTGATGCAGAACCGCCACGATCTCAAGACTCTCGGTTGGGGAATGGGCGCTGACGAGAGCATGAACTACGTTGACTTGCAGCGGAAACCAACTGAGGAGGAAATTCAGGCTATTCAGAATGAGTGTGCAGAGTTGATTCGAGAGAATCTGCCGATTAGGGTTGAGACGCCGGATGATGCGAAGCATGATAAGCTCCCTGGTGATTATGACAAGTCTGATGGTGTTGTACGCGTTATTCACATTGGAGATCTTGACACAAACACGTAAGTCCATCCTCCAAAGTCCCATCACCTACTGACTTCAATCAGATGCTGTGGAACTCATCTCTCCCAAACATCTCACATCTCCCTCATAATCCTCGGCTCAACACAATCCGTCCATGGCAAGAACTGCCGTCTTTCCTTCATAACCGGCGATCGAGCCATCAAACTCGCAACATCATCCGTCAGTGCCATCAGCTCCATAGCGAAGCTCCTTTCATCCAGCAACGTCCCAAGCGAGGTCGTCTCACGAACAACAGCTCTTTCCGACACAGTCACTGACTTGAAGCGATCTGAGAGGAAGCTTTTACTTGAAGTAGCGAAGTTCGAAAGCGAGCAGGCTATCAGGATCGTTGTGCAGAACAGGATGAATGCGTATATCCACCGTTATGACGGGAACACGGACTTTATCAATAAGATTGTTGGGGAGACGAGAGATGTTCTCCAGGGCACGGGTTTTGTAGTTGTTATCGCCATTGGGGAGCCAAAGGGTAGTGGACCAGTTGTCATTGTTGGTGATCAAATTGCTGTCGATGCGATGGCACAGAAGGTGAAGGTAGTTATCAAGGATATCAAGGGCGGAGGTGCAGGAGGTAAATGGCAAGGCAAAGTGAAGGAGTGGACGAATGCGCAACTTCTAGCGCTGAAAGAGGTCGTCGAGTCGTGAGACTCTGTGCCGTATCTATGGTCTAGATCTATTAAGTTCCATGTATCCCATCCTAAAGAAACAGGTAGACCAGTCTTCATCCTCTATCATCCCTTCTCCCATACTCAATCTCAGATCAACTGCAGAGGCCTCGGCCCAACCATCCGATTCAACTGATATCCCCTTCGTTTCGGCTGCGACTGCGTCATCTCAAACGCCTTTAGAATATGCCCAGCATCAATAGCAGGTCGCTGCGGGTTCGACATGAGGAACAGGCCCTGTCTTCTAGCCTGAAGGGCTGCTGCCGCTGCCTCATGTTCCTTCCCGCCGTGAGTTGTGATCTCCTGCGCCTGGATTGACAACGCCATGTCGGTAAGGCGCTTAACCATTTCCACGGCGATAGAGCCCAGAATCTCAATGGCGTCGTCTTTCTTCCGCAGGTCAGCAACTACGCCGATGCAAGCCCACTCGCGGAACCTGGCCTCTTTGGCTCGGTGGAAGGAGGCCTTGCGGTAGGAGCACCACTTGATGTACTCTTCCCCGGACATCTTGCTGGTGACTTCGTCGGCCCAGATGAGTCGCTCGCGGGACTTTTCGCTGATCTGGACAGCATCAGCGTCACCGCCGGGAGGTCGGACGGCGAACATGAACTCTTCGTCCCAGGGCATGAGAGCAGCGGAAGCCTCGGTGGTCTTCTTGGCGGTGTCTTCAGCGGCGTTGTCGGTGTCGGAGAAACTATCCTCGGCATCGTTCTCCGGCTTATCTTTCTCGTTCGTTGTTTTTCGGGCTTCACCGCGGAGTTTCTTCCACCGGATCACATTCTGTAGGCGAGTCATCCGGGCGGTGTCGTGGCGGACTTGGAAGAGTACATCCTTGATGGCGATGAACTTCTCGCCGCGTCGGGCGGAGAGATCTTTGGCCTTGGTCAGCTGCTTATGGGTTAGCTATATCTCCGAGGGGGAGGAGTTGTTATGCTCACAATGTGGATGATTTGGTCGCGGACAATCTGCTCCACGAGGGCGGCGGTTTCGTTGGCGATATCCTGCGTCTCACCAGCGACGAACATCATCTGTTGCTCTTAGCGAGGGGACGGTAATGAAATAGAAGTACGCATACCTGCTGAACCTCATTGGTGTACTTGGGTTCAAAGGGCGCCATGACGGGCAGCGTGCTCGAAGTAGTGTCGAAGATGTTGTGATGTTGAGGAGGAGATGGCACTCGAGCTTATGTCGGTATCCTTGGGTGACGAGAGAAGGCCTGTTTTTCTTTACAGGATTTCAGTTTATTGCTTTTTAGAACGCGTCTTAGTTCATGGCGTCCCTTTGTGATTCATAGTGGAAGATCGAAGTCATGAGGGTTGGTAGGGAGCTCTGACCATTCGTTGAAACAAAGAGGCAGCACTGCTCGACGCAGGCAGAAGAAGGACAGACGTTGGGTCTCTTTATTGTTATCGAGTCGCCTTTGTCAGTGCTATTCCTACACGCGGGAAGTCTATTGTCCTCGAACAATTGAGTATGAATGAGAATTGCGGAACATGGTCATTTGACATTTACCGTAATGCTATGGACATGATTGCGTCTTCCGGCCAAAGGCTGCTGCATCCCACTTTCAGAAGTTGCCCGAGCAATCAACTTCAAAATGCCAGACTCAAGTTCAACGGCGACAGTGAACCTTTGCCAGGCCTGATCTTCTTTGGTATCTACCTTTCCTCGAACCCAGCTCTGTCCTTCGTCTTTACTAACTTCTACCAGTGCAACACCATCATGGCTCCAAGCCCAGCCTTCCACCGTTACCAATCCTGCAGAGATGGCTTCCGAGGCCGCAGGCTTCGTTATCATCGAGTTCACTTCGACTTCCCATACCGGCCGCATCCTAACTCCCTCAGGATCTGCTGGGTCTTTCTCGTTGTAAAGGACAGATGCAAAAGGGCCAGGTGCACGAGTCCCCTCTAGTGAAAGTCTACAAAGCCACTTTGTCGAATTCGTGCCGAACCAGCCAGGGACAACAAGTCTCACCGGTCCGCCTCGTTCTTTACAGAGTGGCTCACCGTTGATCTTCCAGGCGAGAAGTACCTCAGGCCTTTGTGCCTTGGTCACCGGTAAGTCCTTCTGATAACGGTCTGCTTCGTACTCAAAGAACTTTCCCTGATCGAGACCTTCTGACCAGACAAAGTGTGCTTCAGGAAGGGGCTCTGCAAGAGCGAGAATAGTCGACAGTCGAACGCCACTCCATACCACGTTACCAATGCGCCAAGGATTGCTCGTCGGCGGTTTCAGCGGACTTCCGTAGCATTCGTGAAAGGACGTAACAGAAGTCTGAGGCAACGCTTTGAGTTGTGCCAAGGAGAGGGCGAATGGTTTTCGCACAAGGCCGTCGATTACCAGCAACCACTTTGCTTCATCGACTACAGCAGCACCCATATGTATGGTCTGGAATAAATGTTCATCTGGTGTGATAAAGGACGATAGATGGTGAGGTGTCGGCGGAGGGCGCAGGAAGAAACCTTCGGGATCAATGGATATACAAGCCTCTCTCTCGGCTCCTGAGGCTGGCAACTGGGAGACGGCATTGTTCATGGTCTTTGCGATTACTGATTCCATTTTGAAAGCTCATGGGGAAAGGGGGACGATTTATGTGTTTGCCGAATGATGTCTTCTCAAGGTGACCTCTCCCGTCTAGCGGGATCCCATCCGCGCTCCACAACCCAACGACCGAGCTTCGGCAAACAACATCCTCTTAGCTCCCGTTCTCGTCCCCGAACTCCAACAACAATCATCACGTGCAGCAATGCTTGATCCGGTCTGGTGGTCTAGTGGTATGATTCTCGCTTA